CTCGTGGAAGTTGGGAAAACTCGAAATTGTATGAAAACACTCCGCCCTTCGGGCGTCGTGTTTCCACACAATTTCTCGTTTTCCCAATTTCCACTCGTGTTGATATAACTGTATATCAACACGGAAAATGTTTTATATTTGTTAAGTAATAAACTGGCCGTTGAGAAAGATCGTGAGGCGTGACTCTATATTTACGACCATATGGAAAAACCAGGTTTTAGAGCGCTGCACCGGAATCGCAGGGGCACGATTTCGCCACGGCTCCTAGGTGAAAAATGTATAAAATTTACACTAGAAAATTTCTATCTACAAATAACGGCCGGTCAACGGACATAATGACCGGTCAAAAAAAAAGCCTTTTGCCGGTCGCTTTTTTACCTCGCCAGTCATTTTGACCGGCCACATTTTCATGCCTTCCAATGTGATTGCTGACGTCTTGAATTAAAACATGAAACTATGATGTATCGAAACAAAGTTTGTTTCACTGTTAGTGTAAGCGTATCGATGACAGATTTTGACCGAGGTATTAAAAAATCTAGTTGACGTAGCTAAAATTCATTTTGAGCCCTGCTCTTGGGAGAACAGTTTATTAAACTAACCAGTATAAATTAGTATAATTTTCTAGAGGCATTCAAAGTGCGCTTTTCTTAGCGTTTTGTATGGTAAGTATAAATTCGCGGGGTGGGGGGGGGGTGTTAACATAGCGAATCTCACAGAATCATGTGGGGACCACAGAGTAGGGATTTACGTGGGGATCGGTATTTGATCGGAAATTCTCGACATTTTCTGGTTTCCCCCAGGTCCCTCGTTATTGCTTCGCCATATTTCATGACTTTCTTTGCTTGAGAGCTGCGCCGTGTATGAAATGTCGTCTGTGTGCAGAGTAAGAACGTGAATAAGCTTGCAGATTGTAGCTTAAACTCTTCGCTCCAACGTGCGAATTTTGTGTGCAAAAAGTCGTAGACTTGGAAATGCATTTGGACTGGTATTGATTTGCTGAAAATTCAAGATGGCGGATGGAAAAAAGATGAAAAACCGCCCCAAATTAACCATTTTGGCACCGCCTGTTTCAATCCCAGAGAAGTATGTTGTATCTCGTGTATGCACGGGCATGAAAGTGTGTACGTAGCTCACATATACACGTTTAATCTTTCAGCACAGACATAGAACCGTCTACCGGCAATGTCGAATCGATTGCAAAGAAACTTGACGATCTTGACATGGACGATTCGCAGCGAGAACGGCTTATGTCCTTCTTGGCAGAGAAACGTAAAATCGGGGACTTAGGTACAGACGATTTTGAGAAATTAGACGAACTAGGTGCCGGGAATGGAGGCGTCGTTACGAAAGTGCGCCACAGTCCTACCAAACTAATTATGGCCCGAAAGGTGTGTGGATTTTATGTTTTTACTAGTGTGCATAAACATTCGTAGCATGTTTTGACTATATAAAGTTCTTGCCCAAATTTGCTACAATTTAACCTTGTTGAGAACAAGAGTAAGGTCTAATTTGTTACATCGAAGATAACGGTAAAACATTTTGACACACAGTTGGGAATTATATTTATTTAAATTTATATTGTACACAATTTGACATTTATTTGCCGTGCCTGTGTTAAATCAATTCTTATGTTTTCACCCTTTAGTAAATGCCAGGGCAATAATAGTTGTGTTTTTGTATGAAATATATTTCTTCATATTTTTTTAATAAAGCCTGTTAAGTGCTAGCCCAAAAACGTTCTAGAATATGTTGGTTTTGGTACTTAAAACTCCGTCTAATATATATTTGTGTTTTACAAATTTATACCAAATTATTCGCTCTCTGCATTTTAAATATTGTCCCCCTAAACTATAATCAAAGCGTTTTTGTTTGAGCAATTTTATGCCATATTACCGGAGCGATCTTTATGTGTACGGCATAAGAATGTTGTAAGAGCGACATGCACAAGAGTGTCAATTAACAACAGTCCACAAATTCCATAGACCCATTCTTTGTGCTCGTTTTTAGTTGATTCATTTGGAAATCAAGCCAGCAATTCGGAATCAAATCATCCGAGAGTTGAAAGTTCTTCACGACTGTAATTCGCCGTATATCGTTGGTTTTTACGGTGCTTTTTACTGCGATGGAGAAATATCCATTTGTATGGAACACATGGTAGGCATTGCATTCCATCGTAAGCTTGTTCTTTCCGACAGGACGTTGTAACTGTAAAAATTCATCCATTAATTTAATTGTTTTCTTCCAGTTAATTTCACATACTTATACATAGATGTGTAATTTGAGTGTAATTTTATGTTAGAATGGTATATTTTAGTGAAAAAGAGATTGTTATAAAAGGCCCCACGTTCTTTGGGATTGTAGATTATTTTAATCAGTTATTAATGTCTCCAGACAGGATTTCCTAAAGATTAAACCAAAATGATTATACATTCAGACGCATTATAGCCCTTTGCATAAGTGTTCATAAATATGCCCAAACACCGAGTGTTTGAATGGCTTGGAGAACAGTGGGATTTTCAAAACAATTAAAAGACAATGAAAATCACTGGATGGCACTAATATCATGCTTAAGTGATATTCAAATGAAAGAAACAAATTATTTTTTCACCCCCTTCTCACATTCACTGCCCTGACCTAACATGGCAAAATTTACATTGGTCTCGGCCAGACTATTTTTCAGGTAGTTGTGTCCCTATCAATTCAAAGCTTTCTTCAAAATTTACATTGTAAACTACCACTGGTTGAGCATCAGTATTTTTGATAAAACTGCCATTTTAACCCATTGAGTTGTAGCACACGCCCCTTGATGAGTAAAATCATTTGGTGTTAGAGAGAGTAAAATCGTAAAGTAGGGTGCATGTATCAGGGTACATTGCCACTTAAAGGGTTAAAGGAATTTAAAAAACTGAAAGAATTTCTCAGATTTTTTGATAATTGGATTGACGATTATTAATTAACATGCAGTTAATAATTTACTAATTATATCGCTTTTTGTTCAGGATGGTGGTTCTCTAGATCAAGTTTTAAAGAAAGCGGGAAGGATTCCTGAAGACATTTTGGGAATAATTAGCATTGCAGTAAGTTTTTCATTCCTTTTAAGGGCAAACTATTTGCCCATGCATCTCTTTTACCAGGTTGCTTTTTAAGTGTAATCTTGAACCGTCATCTATCTATCAAACAAGAAAATAAAGTTGTAATATGCTGTCATTTTTACAAAATAATCAGATCAATATATGTTTAAGTATTAAATCATGAAAATACACAAAATTCATTGTTGAAAACATAAACTTCAGAATATTGAAAAACAACATGATAAATATCCTAGACTGGCTAGACTCTCTCGGCACTATGCCAAGCTGTATCAACTATAATAAACATTTTCGAGCCAAGCTCTTCAAGCAGCAGTATACCTTTTGTTACAGTTTTACTCTTTCCAAAGTAAGACAATATTACTCATAAGAGTTTAAAAGTACTTAATTGATACTGTATCACTTGACTCAACTATTTACTCCTATTGCTTTCAGGTTCTCAAAGGCCTTAGTTACTTAAGAGAAAATCACAAAATAATTCACAGAGGTGGGTAGGATATTGCTGTATATAATAGTATGTATCCTAGATACAATAACCTTTTTTGACAATAATTTGGATGGTTGCCGTCAACACAAATTTTCCCATTACAGCAACATAATCAATCTTGGTAGATATATTTGACACTTGCTTAGTTGCTTGTTAGGATGATGTACTGTACCTAATAACACTTGGTTTATAACAACTTGTACTTTTTGTGATTTCCAGATGTGAAGCCTTCCAATATTTTGATAAGTTCGAGAGGAGAAATAAAACTTTGTGATTTTGGTGTTAGTGGTCAGTTGATTGACTCCATGGCAAATTCATTTGTTGGGACAAGATCCTATATGGCAGTAAGTTGAGACCTAGAAATAATATTGTCAGTGCTGCTGCATGTTGTTGTTGTTGCTATTGTTGTTGTTGTTGCTGCTGCTGCTGTTGTTGTTCTTGTTGCTACTGTTGTTCTGTTGTTTTTGTCATTGTCATTGTTGTTGTTTTCTGTTGTTGTTGCTGTTATTGTTTCTGTTGTTGCTGTTATTGTGTCTGTTGTTGGTTTTGTAGTTGTTGTTCCTGGTGTTCTTATTGTTGATGTTGTTGCTGCTGTTGGTGTTATTGTTGTTTCTGCTGTTGTTGCTGCTGTTGTTGTTGCTGATGTTGTTGTTGGTGTTGTTGGTGTTGTTGTTTCTGCTGTTGTTGTTGCTGTTGTTGCTGCTGTTGTTGATGATGTTGTTGGTGTTTCTGTTGTCGCTGCTGTTGTTGCTGCTGCTGTTGTTGTTGTTGTTGCTGCTGTTGTTGGTGATGGTGTTGTTTCTGCTGTTGTTGTTGCTGTCGTTGCTGCTGTTGTTGCTGCTGTTGATGATGTTGTTGGTGTTGCTGTTGTCGCTGCTGCTGTTGTTGATGTTGCTGCTGTTGTTGGTGTTGTTGTTGTCACTGCTGCTGTTGTTGCTGCTGTTGTTGTTGGTGTTCTTATTGTTGTTGCTGCTGCTGTTGTTGTCTTGTTGATGTCTTTGATGTTGTTGCTGTTGTTTCAATGCAGTTCCAACTCTTCTAAACACATTCTACTTGATACATTTTTTCCCATTTTATGCATGGGTGTGCATTGCATAGGAGTCTAAATACACCCTTTTGATAATTACATCATTTGGCCTGGAAGCCTCGCTCTCATGAATCGTGAGCCAATCAACTTTGCATAATTTACTAATGAGAGCGAGGCGTGGTGTAATTATTGAAAATGTGTATTAAATTGTATAGGAGTTAAGTAGAATGTTGTCAAGTTTGAGTCATATCAGCATGTTGAAACTACATTGCACTTTTCCTTTTACATTTGAAATCATTAAATTAAATTTTTTTCCTACCAGCCGGAGCGTCTACAAGGCAACATCTACTCCATTCAATCTGACATTTGGAGTTTTGGTTTATCATTGGTTGAGATGGCCTTGGGACGTTACCCAGTCCCTCCACCAAACCCCGAGGACATTGATAAAGTCTTTACAGGAGAGATCCCAGACCTTGCTTCACTTACCCCAGAGAGAATGGTTCCTGGGGCCCAGGTCCCTCAAGGTGTTAATGGTGGAGAAGTCCCAAGGCCGATGGCAATCTTTGAATTGCTGGATTATATTGTTAACGAGGTAGGTGTTATTTTTAATCTCAACATTTTAACACCATCACAAAATACAGTCTGTCCGAGTAAACGTTGATGGGGCATCCGCACACCCTTTCATCTTCCACACCTTACTATTTCATCCTTTTTCTTTTTTCAGCCTGCGCCAAGGTTACCGGAGAGACATTTCTCAGACATATTCAGAGAATTTGTACATAAATGGTAAGCAATTTATTTTTAGAAATTCAGAGATAAAGTTTCACCAAGTTGAGAAATATGTCGTTTTTTAATTTTTTAGTTTGGTGAAAAATCCAAATGAACGAGCAAATCTTAAGTTTTTAATGGTGAGTGGATTTTATTAATTTGTGAGTGACAATTCTGGGGGCGTACTACCCCGGAAGAAATTGAATTTGGGTTTCTGAAACGGCATTTCCTGCATTGTGGAGGCTCCTGGAGAAAAAGATAAATGTCTTCATAAATCACTTTTTAACAGTGTTAAATATTGATTTCACAATATTTGACAATTTAATTCAATTAGAGACATAGTCACATAGAAGCTCTATAGATTCGCACAAGATATACAACACACTACTCAATTTTACATCAATTTTACATCATCTGAAAAACATGGGGGAGGGGGAAGCGGCTGCTCCCCTTCGCCCTCGCTTGGTGGCGCCACTAAGCATTCCGAGTCCTATGTTTTTCCTTGAAATGCGCAAGCGCCGCACGTGATATGTTTTTCAGTAATATTCTCAAAGTTACTTTAGTTGAGTAAATGAGCAAATTTTAAAAGTTTCAGAAATGTGATTTTTATTTGCGAGTCTCTGATGACCGGAGAACTGTGCATGCTATCTCTTACGGTCAGCGATTTCATTAATAAATATGCGTGAAATAGATGCGCAAATATTGATAAAGTTTGCTAGTGGCCCTTTGCACTTTTTTGCTAGTAAGTTAGTAACACTGTAACAGCGAAACCTAGTTTAAGGTAGACGCTTGAAAATAGGAAAAAAGCTTTGGCCGAGATTTCAGACCATATTAAGAAATTGACTGTATTGAAAAAAAAACACACCATAACAAAAAGGTCAACCAATATTTTCAGAATCATCAATTCATAAAGAAAGCCGAAGAGTCGGACATCGATTTCGTTGGCTGGGTACAGCGAACACTTGGTATTAGCCCGCAAACAACGACAGTGTAGCAACATAGTGAAGTTTGTATTTTTAATTATTACCCTGCAATGATAGAAACCAACGTTTCGGTTGGTGGAAGCAACAGAAAGGCACAAAAAAATAGAAAAACTTTACATTATTGAAGTATGTAGATTTCCTCTATTCTCTAGCATTTTTTTTTATGAGAAATTCCATAGAAAATCTATAGTTTACCCATTTAAGGAAACGTTTATATGCAAAGCCCATTTTAAAGGCTTAGCCTGTATCTCAAAACATTCTGGTTAAAATTTCCTGGTTATATCCTAGAAATCTCACCCCGGACTATAGTCTGGATAGTATAACGAGAAATCTGGTTATAGACCCTTTGCACTGACGTCACAAATCCTTAGAGTGTCCTCCAGATGCTCCCTAACAATATCTGTTCGGGTACAACAACCACATACAGCGCAAAAATGAACCATTTTAATACAAAATTATTATAAAATTTTAAAAAATTTGCTCTGTTTACAAAAGTTATATTATGCATAGATTGCTAATTTGTCCTCCAGATACATCGTCACCGGCGCTGTGACGTCATGTGCAATGGGTCTATACTTGTTATTGTCGATTTCAAGTCACTTTTCGACATGTGGGTCCCAAGTTCGTTGCAAACTTGCCAATTACGTTTGGTTTGAAAATTGGGCGCGAACTTCGCAACAAAGTTTTCATGCAAGTACATTTCAATGTTTGAACTTCATTTGTAAACAAATGTTCATACTCGATAATAATAACCAATTCAGTGAAATACAAACCTTGGGGGACCACTGGACCAAGAACGTTCCATTGAATTGTTAATTCAACTTGAGCTATGAACATTTCTTTACAATAGTTCAAACATTGAAATGTACTTGCGAACTTTGTTGCGAAGTTTACGCCCAATTTTCGAACTTGGGAACGTAATTGTCAAGTTTGCAACGAACTTGGGAGTTGGGACCCGCGCGTTGAAAAGTGACTGGAAATCGACAATAAAACAACCAGACTATATTATTTGCTTGCACATGACGTCACCACGTGTCATTAAGCGCCATCTTGGTTGATTTTAAAGTTTTGTCCAGCCGTTTACATCGAAATAGTTGAGTTACTTTAATATTTTTTTTTTTTTTTTGAAAACATCTTAATTACTGTATTATGGATAGTTTACGATTTCTGGCACAATCAAGAATATAGATTTTTAGTTGCGACGAAAATCAACCAAGGTGGCGTCGATTGCAAACGAGCAATTAGTTGGATACATAACCAGAGACCCTGGTTATTTACCAACTTAGCATTGTCTGGTTCGTTTAACCGGGAAGTCCTGGTCAAAGTTACCAGACTACAGTAGGAAATCGATTAAAATAACCAGGAAATTGAACCAGTTTAATCGAAATAGTGTTATTGACTGATAAAATACCATCCTCGTGCAAATATGATTTTTGCATGTGTAATATTCGGATCATTCTTACTGTAAAAGAAATGTATGTCTTTATGGTAAACCTCATTTTGATCAACTTTTCACTGTCATATTTGTCGGATATAATGTTATTAAATAAATTACAAAATTAGTTTTTCTTTGTTTTTGCTGCTATAGAAATTCATTTAATGACATCTATCTTTTGACAGTGAAAAAGTTTGTAAAATGAGTTATTTTACAATAAAGATATATTACATTTTTTAGAATGACCCAAATACTTCACATTATACAAAAATTATATTTGGGATATTGCACTAGTGGGACTTTAGCTATGCTTATAACGCCTATAATAACAACCTCTGATGTTGTTACCAAACTGTAGCTCAATAGTATACTTGTCCCAAGTTCCCTGACGAGGGTTTTAGTAGCAAATGTAGTTAGTTTTTTTTTCATTTCAAATACGAGTGAAATATTACAATTTAAATTTATATATATTCCAACAAGGCTAGCAAATTGTGAATTTCACTTTTTTTGTGAAATATAGACATTTGTTTTGTATTTAATATATTTAGTGGTATTAATAAACACAGCGTCTTATTATTTCCCTTTATATACTTACTGATAAATATATTTTCATAATGCTGCAAACAATTATAGAACTGACTTTTGTGACTATACATATACCCAAACATGCATGCATATTATTGAAATATATCCCTATTAATGACGGTATAGAAACGTGAATTAACATGTTTTTATTATATGGCAAGCATCACTTCCGGTGAAATGGTGGACTGTGATTCACCATAGCCTATCGAAGGGAAGATGGCTGTGAAACTCATTAGAATGACAATATAACTCGTTATGATGTTAGTCAACGTTTATTCATAAATCTGGTCGTTTCACCGTCGCGTGTATTGTATTTTTACCAAATCCACCAATAGCAATTTCCAGTTTCCCTATTCTTTGAGTCACGGATAGGTGACTTTCCTAAAACATTGCTATTGGTTAGTTGGGCAAGAATACAAAACAAACGTGACGGTGAAGGAACAGATTTATGAATAAACGTTGACCAACATATATAATGAGTTTAATGAGTTACATTGTTATTCTAATGAGTTTCACAGCCATCTTCCCTTCGATACACTGTAAGTTTCAGGGAGTTAATTTAACTCCAGTGGTATTATTCTGAACCTAATTTTACTCCACATTTGGAATTAATTGAGGTACAGTATAACTCCACCGGAGTTAAATTAACTCCCCGAAATTAACAGTGTAGGCTATGGATTCACTAAAATATGCATTTGGCCGTACTAGATAAACAAACAGCGTTTGTTTTGCATGTGTTTTTTGAATACCTTTCACATTTTATTGGCATCAACAATAGATATTGTCTTATTGAGGAATGCGTGTTCATTTTTCAAGGGTAGTGTCACTATAGTGATACAAATATACAATACCTGCTACAAGTGATTGGCTGAGAAGCACTTTCAGCCACCATTATTTCCCCGCAATGGACTGGCGGTCCATAATTACGTAACAAACGCATGCATTTTAAAACAAAACAGCAAAACTAATTGAAAATTTGTAAATTACAATTTAAAATTTGTTATTAACAAGATATCTGCGAATTGGTTTTTAGTGGAAAAGAAGGAAGACAAGGAATAGATTGGTATTTCTTGTTTTCTTCGACCAAATGTGTACCACGCTATACTAATATGCATTTCCAATCATGCATTTCTTCAAGTATAAATGCCTATAAATGCCATATAATAAACTTCTTACTAACCTCGTTTGCTCGGTATGTACCAGGGGCGGCGGAACAGGGGGGGGCTAGGGGGGCTAAAGCCCCCCCAGAAAATTTTGTTTTCTCTGGAAAAATTTTGATAATTAAGGAAAAATGTAGGTTATTTCTGGAAAATTTCGGTTAAGGGGAAAAATTTGGAATATTTCATTTAAAAATCGTGTTGTCCGGAAAAATTTTTTGTTATAGGTCCGGAAAATTTTTTTTCATCCCTTTTATTGTATATATCCGGAAAAATTTTTCTACCCCTAAAATGGTACACTGACGGAAATTTTTTTGCGACGGGGGAGGGGGTCACGGAAAAAAATTTAGCCCCCCCCCCAATCTGTTCCGCCGCCCCTGGTATGTACAGAGAAATATCGGGCCTCAGCTGTCTTTTTGTACAAACCTCGCCTTACGGGCTCGGTCTGTAAAAAAAAAGACAAGACCTCGGTCCGATATTTCTCTGTACAGACCTCGCGTTCGGTTAATAATAACTTTATAAATATAAATGTAAATAATTATCTTGTTTGCATGAAGGACAAATTCGCGACCAAGAACAAAATTAACTGATGTATTATTTTGGCTGGTCCTGTTGATCTTGCAATGCATCTAAAACTTAATTTATATCTACCAGTCCTAATGCATCAGTAAATTCTCTGTTCAGAATTATAGAAATGCGATTTGGGTAAAACTGGTCGCCCCTACCGTCCTGCACAGGAATGAAGCAGCCTGATAACATTGCTTGTGACCCGGGGGGGGGGGGGTATTTGCAATGATTTTTGTTATCCAAGATGGCGGACGATACGGCAGCTTTATTAAGGATAATTTTGATCATTAAGAAAAACAGGACAAGAAGATTAAAAATATTGTATTATGATAAGACAGACTCTACATATTTCATTAATGTATTGACTTTGTCTCGGACTTTGTTTACAAACACAATTTAACTTTAAGTTGAACATTTTTGTTTTAATAATGTTCGCAACATGTGTCCTGCCTGTTGGCCGTATACAACTACGTAATAGTGATGACATTGCATATATTAAATTGCATATATAATTTTCGTTTCGAAAATTTCTGCAGTGTCAGTATATATATATATATATATATATATATATATATATATATATATATATATATATATATATATATATATATATATATATATATATATATATATATATATATATATATATATATATATATATATATATAAATAAAATTATCCTATTTACTCCAAGCTTGAACAGTTCCTTCATGCGGGTTCGTCTTTCGCCATTTGCAGCGGACAATCCGATGATAAGTTTGCCGGTATTCTCTGTTCATAGCGGCGACTATGAAGGGGTTGACGGAAGAGTTAACAGTGCCCCACAACACCGCACCAACGTACACATACGAACTAATACCTTCCTTCAGCGATAAGTCCACTACCACCGCAACAAACAGAGGTAGATAACAAATTATAAAAGCTCCCAAAATCGCACCCACTAGCTTGGCCGCGCGCGTTTCCTTGATGTAATCAACGCGCTTATTCTCTTGCAGCCTCGCAACATCGGCTGCTATGACTTTTGTATGTCTTCGAGCCGTTTTAAAAATTTTCCAGTAAGCTACGCCCATTAATACGAACGGAGTCCCAGCGATACAAATGAACGCCAGGGTGTAGTTCCAGGAGAGGTTCGCGCGCACTTGACAGAATAACGTTTCCGTTTCGTTGCGTTCGTTCGGCAACCTGCCCCAACCGAAAAACGGCAGGAATCCAAAAGCAAACGAAACGATCCAAGCCAAAGCGATTTTCCAAAACACCCTTCGTTTTGTCATCCGTGTGTTGTAGGTTAAAGGGTACAAAATCGCACGGTATCTGTCCAACGAATTCAATGCTAGATTCCCAATTGCGACGATCATCAATGCGATTGTGATCGATAAAGAGACGTGGCAGTAGAGCAATCCAGTGTCACTCGATAGGTTTGGCGCGAGTACGTTTGCGATAATCAAAGTTGGAATGCACACTAGAGCAATTAACAAATCACCAACAGACATGCTGACGATGAATGAGTTGGTCACAGTGTGTAGTTTATTGTTGATGCAAAATGATGCAACCGCTAGAAAGTTGCCAAAAAATACGGCGACGTCTGTGATGGCCATTAAAGTTGATATCAAAACTGTTCGGACTGTGGCTGAGTCCATTGGTGATGTCGTGTTTGCTGATGACATATTTCACTTCGGCAAAATAACAATAACCCGAAATTATTGTAACTTTATAATAATGAATAATTGACGAAGTTGATGTCCTGTCGTCTTCAAAAAATTCAAATTACAAGGTGGGCGTTGCGATTCAACAATGGCCAAGCCTCTTCGTCGTTTTTAACTGAAAGAAAATAACACTCAATTTTAGACTATATAGAGACTTCGTCAAATTGGCGGTTTTCAAGTACTTGCAACGCTTTTTTTTCAAATTGAATACTTTTGAAGGTCGCATGCAGTGTGACATCAGAGGAGTGCAAAGCGTCTTGGGGATGGTCAGTAACTTGCGTATTGTTGCGAAGAATAAATGTTTGTTCGTGTTTCTCCACAACACAATTTTAAAATTGGAAACTCGGAAGCAAGCAAAATGTTCCCGAATGACGGTTTGCAGATGACGTTTGAAGTAAATTCATGGCGTTGAACAGCAACCAAAAACATTAATCTTGTGACAAAAGATAAATGACAAAATGCGAATAACATGTTCAATCAATCGTGCCAAAACCTTTGGCAATATGATTAAACTGTTGTGTATGTTTTTGAAACTGTGTGAGTCCATTATTAATCGAGTACAACTATACACTTGTTTAAGTGGTCGCTGTAGGAAATTAATTGAATTTATTATCGTATTGCAAAGAAAAAATACTAGCTATATACACAAGATGAAATAAACCCAAGTACCGGTACGGCAAATAATGCATGCGTTTAACTGGCGTGAAATAGACATCAACGTTTCTTAAAATGTTTAACATTAAGTTTAGTTCCCTCAAACATTTCTATCAAACCTTTCAAAACTTAGGATTTACCTGTGCAAAATTGCTACTGTGATCACAGAAACTTTGATAAGTGTAATGCCAGGCTAACAGTTCTGGTTTCATATACGTGTTTGAACGTGGGTGCTTGCACGGTTGGCTCTTGAGACTTATTTTAGTATAGCAAAGAAGCTTAACGGACTAAAAATACCTTGTCTAAATATCGATTAATAACACTATTTATATATTTAAACTTCTCAAAGGACAAAGGTTATTTTTAATTTTACCTGTTATTCCAACTTTTCACCTGTGTTTGAAGAAGGAATGAGACAGTCTTTATAAAATACGAAACGCGAATGTATCTTTAAAATAAAAGCTGAACTATAGAGAATTCTTCCCAATATTTAAATCCCATAGACATTCAACGGAACGTCATGAGGAACCTGTGTGTACTCCAGCTGAAATAGTCTTCAAATGTTATGATAGTTTACGAAAGGTCTTCATAACCTTTGAGAAAGAGGACTTTCCAAATGTTTCCAAAGTTTGCTATACTACTATATCTTTTTAGGCTTCACAATGTTAGCGCTTACTTAAAGATCGATCATATGGATTGGAAATTCCAGTTAACTCATGAAAATAGTCTTAAAATGTTGTGAGAGTTTCCAGACTGGTTTGGAGTCTTTAACCACTTGAATATTTTGCTGCAGCTGTTTTTACACTCGACAAAGCAGACGGTTCCAAAATAGGATGCCTTGAATCGGTTGGACGTATGATTATGAAATTATGAACTCCAGTCTTAATCCTGCATAGAACACTATCTTTCCGTCCCTTTAAATAACGCCTTGCGTGTTTCACTGTATGTAAACATTGTCTATAAATGGCAAACTCCTATATCATCGATGACCGTTGCAATTCAATTCAGTGTATATATTGACCATTTGATTTATACACCCGCACCGTTCCAATCTTCCCTAGCTTATCACGTATCAAAATGTCACGTGTATTTATAGATTTTCTATGTCCTTTTTACATCAATGTCAGGCGAATTGATGATCGCGCGCTAGTGGAAATTTCCACAGGAACGTTTGCAGTAATATTAAGGACGATAGCCCACAATGGCCACCTTAATTAATTATGAGAGCAGCGTTTTCGCGTCTTGCTCTCAACGTATTGGCCCAAGTATTAATACAACTGTTAATAATCGTGCTTCAATCCGCTGGGCTATTAGACTGTGTTTACTTCGACCATTAAGAATATATTTTTCATTATCTAAATCCCTCATTCGAGAAAGGTTTAACATCAATCACATTGAATTTCTCTTGCAGTATCTTGTTGAATATCAATGTGGGGGAGTTTACTAGCATTGAAAAGAAATTTTTGTATCTTTCAAAAAAAAAATTATGAAATGTGTTTTATCGTGTGATATTATTCATCAAGCTTTATGTATACATTGAGCAGGTGCACCGGGTTTTGTTTGGTGACAGCAATTTACACGGCGTTGCAATTAAAACTACTCGATTGTCTGCACGTCTCAGAAAGATCACCGGTCTACGTGTTGATTATAGTAGACCAATAATTGTGCATCTACGTTTTTCCACTTTTTCGTAACACAGGCGATAATTCAAAATTGTTTGTAGCCAAGGGGGGGGGGGGGGGGGGCAACTGCTCCCCTGCTCAACTTATACGCTTTTTATAATGGTATTATTAATTATTCTTTTTCTAGTTTACTTAGTTTTCTAAAACGCATATTCATTCAGAAACTGCGAGTCAAGACGATGTTACGCGGAATAATTATCAACGACGATTTGTGACACAACAGACTCCTGAACCAATCAAATTTCGTGTAACTTTATTTGCATCGCTAGTTGTTGAAAATCGTTCCGTGTAAAATCGCCTTTGGAACACAATTTCAATCATGTTTCACTTTCGGACTTGTCGGAAATGTAAACGATTAATTATACACACATGTCATATAGCTATTTAATTACGGTTTTGAGAACGTCGACCAATCAAAATCGCATATTTTAGGGTTAACTTGACAATTTATCTACACAATCGTGGTTAAAAAGTAGTTAAGAGTTTTATACAACGAGTCTCTGGCGTATAATACCAACAAAATGTAAGCATGTAAGTTGCCAACACCAGGCTATAGAAGCTATATTATACCGTTGGCGTTGCTGGCCGACAGAAATTTAGTGTCAAGGCAAGGGGGAAAAATGTCGTTATATATCCGGCACTATAAAAACGTGCTGAAAAATACGTACTGTATAATTATTTTAAATAAAGATTGACAACTGCTCGTATAGTTAAACAAACAGGTAATAAAATGTCCATTTTCGTGGAATTTAATCACGTATGGCAATAAAAATAAATTTTATAACATGACATCATGTACATTCAGAAATACAGGATTTGAGAACGTGCGACGATTATTATTATTTTTTAAATTTAAACTAAAGGCAAAATATACAGTAAACATCCGATATGACCGTGTTTAATATCACATACATCCAGGTCATCGGTATATACGTTTCATTGTTTTCAAAATTCCGTTGTTCTCCATGCCATGCATCCAGTCCATAGATATCTTATATACACTTGATAGTGCATCTAATTATTCTACAATTCAAAAATTGAAGCCGTGATTGCAGACTCAGGATATTCCCATGAAATGAGTAGATTCGTATGTTTTCTATTTCTTAAACAGGGAACTTAAACATTTAGTTAAACCTATTCCAAATACATTTTTAAAGTATTCAAATGATGAAAGTTGTTGTTTTTTAAGCGTTTATTAGCGAGTGGGAAACACCAACATGCATGGCCGCTATCTATTCAAATGGGGGTAACCGCTGGAATATTCTTGGCTTCAATTTTACTAAAAGCAATGCGCTATCTAGTCTATATAAGATATCTATGATCCAGTCATGATCCAGCTAGTGATCAAAATGTTCCATTGTCTTGTCATTGTTTTGAAAAGCACACTGTTCTCCATGTCATCCAGTCACGATCCAGTGATCAAAATATTCTATTGTTTTTTCATTGTTTTAAAAAATCTCATTGTTTTTTCCATGCCATCCAGTGATTCCAGTCACTTTATACTGTTGTATTAAAGGAATACCGAATGTTTTCCGTGCAGGATTGCGTGATCCATGCACGAGGGATGTCGCAAGACTTTCGGAAAGCGTAAAAATACTCGAGCCGCAGGCGAGTGTATTTTTACACTTTCCGAAAGTCGAGCAACATCCCAAGTGCATGGATCACGCTATCCTGCTTGGAAAACCATTTGGTAATTGTTTTATAAAATAACTGCAGTGAAACTATGACATTTTGAAAATCCCGCGAAGGCCTTTTAATTCCTCGTGCAGGATAGCCTGATCCTGCACGGCTATTTACCAATCAAATGGCGTGTTTCACTGTAGTTATTATATAATGACTGTTATTGTTTTGTAATATTTGTGAGTTATGCGCAGCGCCTATTGCCTATTGGGAATTGAACAGTAATAAGAGGTATATCTTACAAAACACGTCATTGAAAACAAAGTATAATTATACGTTCTACAGTATATACAGTATTTACACATTTGTCATTTGATTGTAAATATTAATTGTATTGTTTTAATTCATTTGAGATGTTTTGGCCGATAGCGTGTTTCATAAAACTTGCCGAACAGAATAAATTCTGTTTTAGCAGTATTTTAAATTCTCCCTAGCATGGTTAAAAACGATGACCACGTCTGCTATGAGTCACCATTAATTTGTTGCCTAATCTTTCCGAGAACGTGTTCATCGAGATGTTTTGATCTGCACCAAACAATTCCACTTGATAAGATACCCAAAACTAAAGCGGTGATCTGAAAAGAAACATAATTTCGGGTGACTTTTCATGCAAGTGTGATATTCGATATGTAATTTTTATTTATCTGGTGTAAGTTCGTATCCATCTGACCAGAAGATGATTCAAGCTTTAGCTTTAAGGATTGAATCTTTCGTAAGCGGATAAAGGATATTAAATCATATAGACATTGTCATATTGTTATCCATAGTACCTGAAATATCCAAAACTTTCTCTCTTCGTTTGTGCGACAACTTTGAAAGGAAAAAATAAACCATTAAACACTCTCCTTGAGTCTTGGGGGTAAAAATCGTAAAATAATAAACTGGGGAAATTCAAATAGATCAATGTCCAACACAGTTTCTCTTGGTGAATAAAATTGTAAATCCAAATAAGTTTATGACCAATAGAGTGCTTGCACTCTTCCTTTGATGAATAAAATAATCTGGCATTAGACAGAGTAAAATGACAAAGTATGGCACATTAGGTTTACAATGCCACTTATTAAAAGGGATACCATCAAATCAAAATATCACAGCTCGCATTTTCACATTATCTTTTTTACTCCATATGTTGCGTTTTCCATGTTGCTATTACATATTCAGATTACAGTAATTTTGCTTTATTTTTCATACTGTTAGGTAGCTGGTATACATTTTTACAATGCAAATGGCTTGGTAGCTAAACGCATATGGTACATGGATGTAAATAAGACAGTATTTGTACCTCGTGTAAAATTCTGTCTTAGATTTAGAACATATGTTTTTCTGTCTTTTGCCTGTCTCTTTGCATTCGGGATAATTTACTAAGTTGGCCTAGAAATGAAAGTAAACATTTTTTTAATTTAGTGATTTTTTGTTGAATTTATCTTTTTAAAAGTTGAAATGTTTTCCCACACTCTAACGACTTACTAATTGATGTTTTAAGCAATCTTTACATTCTTCTATCTGACTCACTTTACCACAGTTTTCGTCTGAAATAATTGTTGAACACAATTTAATAATTTGGTGAAGGCAATTTAATGGGTGCGTGTGCTGTACAACTTGATTGTGTTGACAAAGAATATGAAACCCTGAGGGTCTGAAATCCTGAGGGTCTGATACCCTGAGGGTCTGAAACCCTGAGGGTCTGAAACCCTGAGGGTCTAGGGTCTGAGACCCTGAGGGTCTAAAATGAGGGTCTGAGACCCTGAGGGTCTGAAACCCTGGGGTCTGATACCCTGAGGGTCTAGGGACTGAGACCCTGAAGGTCTGAAACCATGAGGGTCTGATACCCTGAGGGTATGAGACCCTAAGGGTCCAAACCCTGAGGGTCTAGGGTCTGAGGGTCTAAAATGAGGGTCTGAAAACCCTGAGGGTATGAGACCCTAAGGGTCCAAACCCTGAGGGTCTAGGGTCTGAGACCCTGAGGGTCTAAAATTAGGGTCTGAAAACCCTGAGGGTATGAGACCCTAAGGGTTCAAACCCTGAGGGTCTAGGGTCTGAGACCCTGAGGGTCTAAAATGAGGGTCTGAGACCCTGAGGGTCTGAAACCATGAGGGTCTGATACCCTGAGGGTATGAGACCCTAAGGGTCCAAACCCTGAGGGTCTAGGGTCTGAGACCCTGAGGGTCTAAAATGAGGGTCTGAAAACCCTGAGGGTCTGAAACACTTCTCTTGCTGAGTAACGTTGTCTGGCACTAGGCCCATCTACACAATATGACTAGTCATATACAATCTGTCATTCATTCATCAATTGTGGCGAAATTTGAGATGTGACATCTTTACCCACATTTACTCGAATACATATGCCAAGACTGCGTATACACGATTAGTCCTTGGGGCCTTTTATAAACAATCCTGATTCCTGAAGAGCATTGGCCATTGGGGCACATTGCATTCAAAGAGATAATATATGGACAGATCACTTTAAACACAAAGGGACACACGAATCAAAAACTAGAACAAAACAAATAACAAAACCTTTTGTTTGATTTCCACTGTGTTTTTGATTGATGCCAGTTTCCAGTGCAAAATGAACAACTTTTGACAGATCTACATTTATACTACAGACACGAAAATTAAAGTAAAATCTGTAAGTGAATCTGCTAGCAAAATGGCCAGGAATATCAATTATGAGCAAAACTATAGATTACCTGAAATTTACAACCAATAAACCTATAATAATGACAGTAATTGCAATAAAACCCTTCGTCATTTTTGAAGCCATTTTTGTTGACAAACAATACTAGCCCCAGTCCGAATCATGTTACTTCGCTGTTCTACCGTCGTTTGCGTCCGAAAGTGAACAGATGCGGATACTTTGTTTTGTTGTTGAAACTTTGTATTTTTGAAACAAGCATTTCAACGTTTCATACCATCTGTGACTTTATTAGTCATTATTCTAAAAGTCTGCCTGCTATATGCAACCAAAACGACTAACTACAGCCGAGAAATTTGCAAAGTTGTTATTAATTTTCAAGATGTACAGACAAGATGGCGGTTTTTATGACGATTAATGGGCCATTACTTTTTTTATTATACATAAATGACATACAAAACTGCAGTGATGTTGTTTCATTTGTCCTGTTTGCAGATGATACAAACGCATTCTATTCTAATTCGAGCATTAATATAGCAAAAGAAACAATGCAAAGAGAGATGAATGAAATACTTAAATGGTTA